GCGGTCCCTGTGCTTTGCTAAGCTTGTTCTAAGTAGGTGCTTTAGACCACTGAGCCATCTCACCAGCCCCAATAAATAAATTTTGATTACTTTTTTTTTATGTATTTAATACAAGCTCTACAGAGTCTCACTATGTAGATTGGACTCCTAGTGATCCTCCTGTTTTCAGCCTCCCACGTGCCGGGATTACAGGTGTATGTCACCACACCCAGTCTCAACTGTAGTCTTAGTGTGCCCTGGGGGCGAGGCCAGCACAGCTTGTGGTGCTGGGGACCCAACCACAGTCCCTGCTGTCTGCCGCTTTAGTCCTCTGAACTAAATCTGGCTGACCCATTGATTATTACATAAAATGTAATTTAGAACATACAACCAACAATTTTACAAGTCTACATCATTATTTGCCAATGAGATCATGAGTTAACTGGAAGGGCTTGAACCGTCACTTAAAAGGTTACTGCTTCCTACCCTCCAACCCCCCACCCTCTGCTCCAGCTGGTGGGGTAGCTGCAGGCAGGCACAGTGTGGTCACTGCACACCGGATCAACTCTGCTTGCGGTGTGTACATTTACAAAGAAACATGAATGGATAATAAAAGAACAGTGGTAGAGGAACAGTGGGAATCAGCAACTCAGCACAGGAAGCTTTGGGAGATGCTGTTTACTGTAGTCTGCCCAAAGTTGGGACAAAATTGAAAGAGCATGATGAGTTTGGTGCTTCGGAAAGTGTGACAGCTGCCAGTGAACTCTATTCTCCTCTGTTAGGAGAAGTAACTGAAATTAATAAAACACTTGCAGAAAATCCAGGGCTTGTCAACAAACCTTGTTATGAAGATGGCTGGCTAATCAAGATGACAGTGAGTGACCCTTCAGAACTAGATGAGCTCATGAGTGAAGAATCATCTGAGAAATACGTGAAATTGATTGAAGAGTGAAGCGGCACCCAAAATAAACTAGCATGGTGCGACTTCCGCAGAACCATCTGCAGTTGGCAGCACACAAAAGACTTGAGATAACAAGTTTTAGCAGTGCGATTATGATGGAAAAGAAACCTCTCTCTCCACTGCTCCTGGACGAAAATACCCCTTAACTCCTTAGTGATTGCAGATAAACACAATGTGTATCTTTTTATATACACCTTATGATTTTTAGACTAGGCTGTGGGTTCTGATCTTCAGAATTCCTGAAATTAACCATGGTAAAAACTAGGTATAAGAATTATGTAATTAAAGGATAACACTGCTATCATAAGCCTTATGTAACACTATAACTTGCTCCCCAGTTCTGCAAAAACAAAAAAGACAGTAGCTTGCTTATATTTCTACCTGGATTTGGGTTAAAATACCTAAAGAACATGTGTGCCAGCTGTGTAATAACTATCTGATGAGGACTGACACTCTTAACCTTATAATGGGCTGCAGCGCCTGGGGCTGTTTTCATACAGTGCAGCAACAGCTCTGCAGCACAATCTGAAACAAATAAAATATTCAACCTTAAAAAAAGGGTACTACTTTATGTTTCAAAATGTCATTGCACTAATAAAAAGAGCATAAAAAGTCCATAATCCTATTACAGATAATAGCTTACACATTTTTTTCTAGCCTTTTTTACATACACAGTGGTATTTTTATATCATATATACTATTTAGTATATTTGATACACATCATCTATATAGTCATATATAAAATTTGTAGTCATTGAAGAATTTTTGCATTCTGGTCAATATAAACACTTCTTGCTAAAAACAAGGATTTTTCTCTTACGTAGTTATAATCAATCTTTCCAAGAACCACTTCCTCCTTCTTCCCCATTCTAGCCCTGGATACAACTTCCTTTTGCTAACATTGGGGAGCCTCCAACCAGCTCCTTTTTTCTTTTTCTTTTTTGTGGAACCAGGGATTGAACTCAGGCCCTTGTGCTTGCCAGGCAAGTGCTTATTCTACTGAGCCATCTCCCCGGCCCGCTATAATCAACCTTATGATTAATATTATCATATAACATGAACTTTTATGTATTTTAGATTTTATAGGGTAAATACTAAAATATAATAAATTTATAAACAAAAATATATATTTTATACTTCATAAAACATTTCTAAAATTGTTTTCAAAAAGGAATGAATTACCTGGGTAGTGTTAAATGCCTGTAATCCCAACTCCTAAGCAGCTATACCCAGAGGATCCTCAATTCAAGGTCAGTCTGGACAATTTTTTTTTTTCTTTCTGAGATAAGGTCTGTATGTAGCTCAGGCTGGCCTTAAACATGCAGTGATCTTCCTATCTCAGCCTCCAGAGTTCTGGGATTACAGGCATGCACCACCATGCCCTGCCTGCATGGACAGTTTAGAGAGAAGCTGTCAGGAAATAAAGGCAGGTGAAGGATAAAGCTCAGTGGCAGAGCACCTTCCTAGCACAAGGTCCTGGGCTCAGCCCTCTACTACAATAAACAAACAAACAAACCACACACAAAGGACTGAATCAGGGCTGGCCTGATAGCTCAGCAGACTAAAGCACCTGCTGAGGCAGAGCACAGCAGCTGGGGTTCCATCCCCAGTATGCCATGCCGGCCTCCCCCGTATCCCTTGGGGTGCAGTGAGATGGTGACTGAGACTGGGCATGGTGGCGCATGCCTGCAATCCCAGCGCTTGAGAGGCCGAACACAGGCAGATCACTAAGAGTCCGATCTACGTAGTGAGACCCTGTAGACCCTGCAGACTGTATACTTTCGGTGAAGTAAAGATGGCCACTTTAATGGTGGTGGGAAAACTGGCTGTCCACATGCTAAAGATTGAATATGGAACTATTTCCCTTACCATGCATTAAACTAAGATCAAAATGGATCAAAAATCTAAACATCAGAACAGAAATATTTAATCTATGGATGATAAAATAGGTAAAACTCTGGAAGATATAGGTGTAGGCAGACTTTCTGAACAAAATCTCAGCAACACAAAAATTAACATCAAGGGCTGGGGATATAGCTCATCAGCACAGTGCCTGTCTGCCAAGTGCAAGGTCCTGAGTTCAATTCCTCATACCTCCCCTCCCAAATCAAGAATCAACAAATTTGGAGCACATCAAATTAAAAACCTTTTGCACAGTACAGGAAACCAACAGTGAAGAGATAACCTAAAAAATGGGAAAAAATATTTCCAGCTACTACCCAAAGGATTAATATCTAGAATATATAAAGAAC